GGCCCTTTTTTTCCAAATAAAAAACCCTTTTTTTTTTTTTTTACACCCAAAAACAATTTTAAAACCCTTTTTTTTTTTTTTTTTTTTTTTTTTGCCTTTAGAAGGCACTTCAGGCTAACGGAGAGAAAGTTAAAATACTGATACACAACCTGTAGTTAATTTGGCACAGAGACCGCTAACCAAAACTCTGTTGAAGCTAAGAGCGGCATGACACTGTGTCATTATTTTAAGAATTACTTACCTACTTGAACTGGAATGATTAATTTAATTAGCACATTGTCGAAATGCTTAGGACTTCCGACTCTGAAATATATCAGCGATTGCCTTTTAATCAGTCTAGAAAAGAAGGATCGATCCAAAGAACTCAGACATTTTGCTGAAGAAGAAAACTGTGTTATCAAAACACTGGTGAAGTTTAATGCACTTTTTACCGTCTCCACCGAGAGAACTGCCAATCTTCCATTGTGTAACCCAGCAGAACTGATGCGTGTCTCATCCTATTTTGAGTGCTGCCACACTTTGATGAGCAGAGTAAAAGCTCTAGGGCTGGTTTTGTGAGATTAGTGGCAGGCTGGTAATTCAGTACAAAATTATGTTTTACATTATAAGAAGTCCTTCTATTAGCGCGTCGCCACTACTGGCTCTGTAGAAGGAATTTCTAGGTGATGAAAAATCATATATCTTTCAGTGTACTTTCACTCAGATGGCTTCCCCTCGACAGTGCTGCGAAGACCAGAAAACATAGTGATGAAGAAAAAAAATATACTTGCAGTCGCATATCTGTGCTCCAGACACCTTTTTACACCCTGGTGTGTTATTCTAACATGCCTTATATTAATTTCTTTCCAGCTGGTCATCTTTTACCTGCTGTTTTCCAGCGCTGCCTCTAATTTATCTTCCCCTACTTTGTGATTGGGCTTTATGGTTTGCTAGCTGTGAACAGACGCGGGGGCCCAGATGGAGATAATCTGGCCTGTGGTGTAAAGTCCTTTATCTTTCATGCGGGCTTTAAGGAACAATTTGCAGAGCTATTAATTTGAGCTTTCATATCACACTGCTGCAGCCAATATTTCTTCCTCTGGTTTACAGATGGAGAGCAGACCCAAGTACTACGGCAGAGAGTGAGTTTAACTTGATTGTTTTCTGTCTTTTTAGATATAAATGCTTTTCTATATCATTTAAGGCCTTTATCATATAACAACTGTTTTTTAAGTGGGCATGTGAAGTTTTTCTTCTGAGTTTTCCATGTAAATCTTTTAAGTTGTTGATGACCAAAACCTGCTTTTATTTAACAGATTTCATGGGATGATATCTCGAGAATACGCAGATGAACTGCTAGTAGGCAAAGAGGGCGCATACCTCATCAGGGAGAGCCAAAGACAGCCAGGGACTCACACCTTGGCCTTGAGGTACAAACACCTCCACAAAACCAGAAACAAAACCGATTGACTCCACCATCAGCTTCGCGCCCGACTTTTACACCACCTGTTCACCTGTTTGTGAATTTCCATCCAGCTTTGGACACCAGACCCTCAACTACAGATTGTTTTATGACGGGAAGCACTTTGTCGGGGAGAAGAGGTTTGAGTCCGTCCACGACTTGGTGACGGATGCCCTCATCACCCTTTACATCGAGACCAAGGCAGCGGAGTACATCGCCAAGATGACCACCAACCCCATCTACGAGCACCTTGGCTGCACGTCGCTGCTCAAAGACAAAATGGTGCACAGGCTGAGCCGTGGACGCACGGAGCCTCGCAGGGTCACCTTCCAGAGCGACACGGTGAGTTTGAGCGCTGTTCATGTCACATAAAGACGTACATTCTCAGCAGCGGTCCAGCTCTGCTTTTACAGTGATGACTCGCATCTTTATTTAAAGTAGACCTCAACTTCATCACCAAAGAACAAGGCAGATTGTGCAGATTCACACAGAGCCCCAATATCGGCATAATGGAGTTGGAGTGATTAGACATACACAGAGAGAGACAGAAAAACTCCTTTAATCTATGACAAGTCAGCACTAGTAGAATATTAATCTGACAAGAGCCTTGAAACAGTTTCACCAGTTTTTTTAATCTGTTGCACAATTTCCACTGCGAATTAATGTTTAACTGGGTGAAAAGCTCAAGATGTAAATGTTCACAAGAAGCTAGCTTTTCAAAATGCAAAGTGTTGTATGATTTGATTTAAATGATCGCATCTATCTGCCCGATCTTTACATATTTACGATATCCTGCTGAAGTTCAGCAGGTTTCTGGAGCCTTTCAGTCTAATGAAAGGTGGCGAAGATCTGAAATGGATCGCCACAGCACCACAGAGCCCAATTCAAGCAATCTGCATAGTACCTCGCAAAACTATTCAGTCCACTTGAACAGTTTCACAAGACTTCACCTGAAAACCACTAGATTGAATGTTTTTTATTGGCACTTCATGCAGTACTTAACTCAATTATGAGTTAATTATGATTACTAACTCATAACTGTGAAGTGGAAAGAAAGCAATCCATAAAACTGACCTGAGCTAAACATTTAGACCTCCGTGGAAAATCCAGTTTGTGATACAACACTAATACTACACGTCACCCTAAATGCACCATCCCAAAACTAATGTATTTCTAATATTTTTCTTTTGTAGGAGCAGAGAAGCTGGGTTAAAATTAGTAGAAAGATGGATGGAGCTAAATACAAGGCAATCCTAGATGAAAATTGCTCCAGCCAGAGCTGCAATATCAAGTTTGACCTGGTGAAAATTCATATCTAAGCCACACTGATGATCATTGGCCACACTTGAATATTGATGTTGATAGCTGCTTTTCATTCAGCCCGAGTGAAGACATGTCATCTCACACTTTTCGGATCTTTATAACCTAAAAACCTTGAACATCATTCATGCTTTTTCTTCCACTTCACAGTTGTGCACAACCTTGTGTTGGTTTATTACTTTAAATCCCAGTAAAATACAATAAAATTTTTGGCTATAAAGAGGCTAGAGGAATATGAAAACCTCAGCTGGGTAGTGTATGTATTTCATTAATGTTTTTTTTTTTGTTTTTGTTTTTTTTTTTTTTTGGTGGTGGTTCATTTGTTAATGAACCCCCTTTTTCTTTTATTTTTCTCAAGACATAGTTTGACACACTGACTTTGATCTGGCTAACACACTTCTGCCATTACAGTAGAATGGTGAGGTTTTTTTTTTTTTTTTTGTTTTTTTTCTGAGGGGTCGGTCTGCCCTGTGACTGAGACGTACATTATCCTTACAGCCTTTGGGTGTGTTCACTGCTGCCATGCTTCGTTGCTCACACTGAAAGGTAATGATGACCGAGGGGACTGGGACTTTGCTGTCTATATCAGACTCCATGGTTTGAAGTGAGACACATCTCACATTGTTCTCCTTTGGCTCTCTGGCTGATTGGAGACTGTGAATGATTTATCAACGAGAGACAACAAAAGCTTCTTCCTTTCATAGAAAGGAGATGTCCCTCCACTAGGTGGCAGTCTTAAACTGTCTCTTCTGGTCTTTGTAGTCCTAATAGATTGATGGTTTGGTCTCATCACTGACAGATGCTTGTGTTTTCTTGGCCTTTTCTTTTTTCTTTTTTTTTTTTTCTTTTTTTGTCCTGCACCCTGTCTTTGCTGTAACTCTCAGTTTTGACTGATTGCTTTGGGGATCTTTTTTTTTTTTTTTGTCCAGCTCAAATTTTGTTATACAGCAACAATCGATTAGAGACGACAGCCTTCATCAACAGTAGTTGTAGCTGCATTAATACAGAGTCTGGTTCTGATGGATGCCTCTTCTTATTGAGAGGGACTGATTCAAAGAGAAGTTTTTGACGGTTTATCAATACTACGGATTTTAAACTGAATTGTAATTGGATATTTTTTGACTATCTTTCTGGGATGCGCTGCAATAAATTAGATCGTAACTGGTTTACTTATTGTTGAGTGATTTGGACTGGATTAAGCTTATATTTAGTTTCTCATATTTTCTTAATCTCTCTGCAGAAGGCCTTGAGATGACTTCTCTAGTGAGCTATAAAAATAAAACAGAACTGATGAGAACATTATTAGTAAAACTGGACATTAATAATTCTGATTTGTTCTCGGAAAACTAAATCTTTTTTTTTTTAATCTTAAAAACAATCGGCCAGTCTGTAATTCATTTATTGAAGTTTGAATTTATATGCATAAGGATGCTTTTAGAAAAACTGTATAACTTTTAAAACCAAATGGCTTTAAAAGTGGGTCATAAAACATCAACTGATCTGTTTCAGTAATCTCCAGAAATGACTGTATTTTCTGGACAATAAGCCAAACTGGAATATAAGTCTTGTTTAAAAAAAACTAAATAAAATGTTATGAAGGGAAAAACAAACGTATACAAGTCACATTGCACTATACGTTGCCTTTTTAAAAAAAAAATAAATTACACTTGTAATTATTTTTGGGATGTTTTTGGTTTCTTTTTAAACTTTTACATTCTGGTTTAACTCTGTTTTTTTTGTTTTTTTTTGCTATAAACTTCAGTTCCTTTTTCATTTTGAAATTTCTGTTTCCTTGAGGACTGTGCGCTACTAACCTTCCTGCTTACATGTTCCTTTTTTGTTGGAGTTTCTTTGTCACCTTTCGGTTGATGATGTTTAATTATTTTTGTTGGGGCTGTTGACTTCTTCTGGTTTGCAGATTGTCCTGCCTTCAGTGTCTGGATATGTGTTTATGCATCATTCAGTTTCAACCTGTAAGTCCATTCTTAACAGCTTCACTGCACCACTTAGTCACCCACCCACTGGTTTGCATCTGAGATCTGCCTACCTGTTGTAGATTCTTTTCTTTTTTTCTTTTATCAATTTTTTTTAATCCTCCACATACTCAACATTTTAACAAATCTTGATTGTTTGGCTTTCAACGCTCTGAGGATACAGTCTCAATGCACAATGACATCCGTCTAATTTAGGCTACACAGCTATTACTGATTATAACGTCACAGAATCTCACTTTGCAAAATGTGTCATAACCTTTTAAGCTGGGTGTGTCATTATTCCCAGGATCTCAGTGATTCCTACCTCAAGTAAAATAAAAGCATTAATCTAGCGAGCTGGTAGCTAAAACCACTGCTCTAACATGTTCCAACCTCCGGTGCTTTTTTTTTTAAGGCAAAATGTATGCTTTACTTAATATATTTGTTAGCTTTATAGATTCTGTTCTCCAATAATCTCCCACGCTGCAAATAAACGTGGGTCTTTCTAAATGTCAAATTGTTTGTTGTCACGCCGTCTGTAAAACCGACAGTATCTTCCTCATGCCGGCTTTTACACTTTAGGATTCAAATTCAGTGACAGCTGTGTTGACGTTGGACTTTATCGGTCTGCTTGTGACTCGCAAACAGAAAATCTGTTCTCTGTCTTCTCAAAGACGGGAGAAACCCGGGGCTTACTGCCTGCATCTGTGGTGGCTTTTTGAACTTGGTGTTTACCATTTACTAAGACACGCCCTGAGGCCCTACAGACATAGTAGTTTCACTGTAAAGTCAAAATCTGTTTGCTTAGGGTCAAGTTGACGTCTGTATAATGCTGCGACTGTAAACGCTCGTGTAATTAAAAGGCTGGCAGGAGGCTGAAAGGTGCGTTTTTGACTAGATCGACCTCTTGAGTTTCTTCCCCTTCAGTGGTCATGATGCTTGCCACGCTGGTGTGGCTCTCGAAAGGCTGAACCTTAAATGCCATTGAAGAAATAATCTTGTTAGTTTGGGGTAATTACCTGTTCTCGCCCGATGTTTAAGTTGTAAAATGTTAAAAATACTCCTCAATTTCCACAGTTAAACGTACTCTTCCAGGCTTTTATGAGTGGTTATTTATTTCAGCCTGAGACGTCAGAAAAACAGATCAGTTTCCAATGTTCCCAACATGGACAAAAGTGTCAATTTCACCCAATTTTCTCTTTACCACAATTCTCACAGTATAGCCCTTTATTTTTGTCATTTTGTTGCTGTTAAGGCCTTTTTTTTTGTACTGCTGTCTGACTGTGCTGCTCTCCACTGGGTCTACTCAGCTGTGCTCTCACAAAGCCTCGCTGGAATAAAAGAGCACTGCCACTGGAAAGAAAGCCGAGGTTGTTGTGCGGACCACCTTTTGTGTCCTTTTTTGTCCAAGCTCTTCTTTAAGAGACAAGCAGCCATCTGCCTGCGGACAAAAAGGGGGACCAGGCCTCGTCTCCCTCCCCGCACCCTTCCTCCCTCTTCTCAAGGCTGAAATATCTCAGAGCTGCCCATTCCTCATCTGCCTCCACAGGCATAACTTTGGAGAGGAATTGCCTGGTGTGGCATGTTTAAGAATGTCAACTACAGAGACGAATTTCCTCACCTGTCCCGTCGCTCTTGTGGCTGCGGGTCAGTTTGCGTCTGCCAGTCAAACAAAAAGAGCTAACTGGTGCGCGAAAGTCTTTCATTCGTTTACTTTTGTTTAATCCTCAGAAAGCCCGCTGAGGAAACGTCTTCGTTTTCAGTGCTTTCGTGGTTTTTATTTTAAACACGTTGTTAATACAGATCACAATAAAAAAACAAGTATGGCAGCTAAATATCATGACAATGACGTCATGTTTTTTTAAGAACCCGTAAAGTATCTCATGATTAAGAACAGGTATTTAGTTTTTGTTTTCATAAATATGTGGGTTTGTTTTCTAGAATAACTTTAAGCACATTACTAAGAATACTTTCTTCATAAAGAAACATAAGACCCGAGATTTAAATCCTTCAACAAGCTTCTCACAGTAATTTGCTGGAATTTTATTCATCTCTACAGAACTGGTTTCACTAAGCCGTGCTTGAACACACCTTTTCACCTCTGCCTACAAATTTTCCATGGGATGGAGATCACGGCTTTGCGACGGCTACTCCAAAACTCAGACTCTGTTGTCCTTCAGACCCTTTTATTTTTTTACCAATTATAAGTATTTCAGAGTCATTGCCCATTTTGAAGACCCATTTGTGCCCCATTTTTAACTTTCTGTCTCATGTCTTGACATGTTGCTTCAGGTTTCCACTGAATCGCCTTTGATCACAGTTTCATCGGTTTTAAAAAGTCCCCCACTGCAGCCAAAACACCCTCACAACATGATGCTGCTGTGCCTGTAGTGTACAGTAAGCATGAGGCACAATTCTGCTACTTTGCTTTATAGTAAAGGCACATTCATTGTAATGTTTCATTAT